GCTGAAAACCCGAGGATACATGGGGATATGTCCCCGCCCCCCCAAAAATGGAACAAAATTACGCCGATTTTCGATTATGTAGTCTACGACACTCCCTTTGGACAAGGGTTTCGAAACGCACCTCACCTACCTCACTCGGCAATGGCTAGGTAACAGTTGGAAATGTTTTTCCCTTTCGCCTTCCTCCGCCCCTCCATTATTTGACGGTTCGCAAGATCGGGGCTGGCTGTGATGGGACACCCATTCATTGCTGAACGCGACGGGCTGGCGGTGGAAGCCGTCGGCGAGGTTGTTGTGCCCGGCCGTTTGGCTTCTCCCGCGGCTCTGCTGATGGGCGGAGGATGGCGTCCACCACTCACTTTTCTTTCGGCTTGGAGCAGATGCACCTTGAGCCCGCCGTGTGATTCATCTCAATTATAATAATGGTAGTTTGTTTGATTTTTTTTTTTTATATTCCATGAAAATGTTTATGGAAGTCCATGGAGCTCCATGGAACTTTTCATGAAACTCCTTGGACTTTCATGAAACATTTTCATGGCATCTCATGGAACTCCTTGGACTTCCATGAAATATTTCATGAAGAGTTCCAAGCTCCATAGACTTCCATGAAATATTTCATGGAAGTCCAAGGAGTCCCATGAAGCTTTTCATGGAAGTGAAAGGAGTTCCGTGAAAAGATTATTGGAAGTCCAATGAAGCACGTGCACACTTTTCATGGAAATCAATGTCGAACACAGCCAAGGCTCATTGTCGGCATTTATCAACCAAGTTGGCGTCACTGGAATATTTCTTGAACGTCCATGAAATGGTCCATGAAATGTTTCATAGACTTCCATGATGAAATATTTCATGGAGTTCCATGGAGTTCCATGGAACTTTTCATTTTTTGGAACATTTCATGGAACTCCATGGAAGTCCATTGAAAAATGAAAAGTTCCATGGAACTCCATGGAGTTCCACATGGACTTCCATGAAATATTTCACTAAAAAATACTATGATGTAGACGACTGGGGGTACGGTAGTTCGATCTCATATATATTTAGTTGACCGATTTTTCGTTCGTTTGACTGCTGTTCTGGCGGTACGGTGTCACTCCACGCATAGCGCACCGTGCTACAATTCTGTTTTCGATGTACCAAACCCAAGGTATTCCACTAAATAAATTGAATCGCACTCAATCCATTTGTAGGGATATCCGAAAATTTTCGGCAATACTTTCTCACGGTGCATCTTCCCTCAGGGTTGTGATTTTGCGCGGCTTACGCTACGGAGTATATGAAATCGTTCCGCAAAAATAAACGTGCAGCGGATTAACCGCTCCGCCCCGCTCTGGGGCGTGAACACAGATATCGCTCGGTTCTGTGAGAATAATGCCTTCAGATGAACTGCTCTACTTCGAGATTTTCACACAAAAAGAATAAACCTGCTCCATTCCTCGCCGTGAACATGTCAAGAAGGACTAACTTTTCCGCGGAGCGGTTCTACTCCGTAAACACCCGTGGTGTTTGGATACGTCGTACGTATCAAATCTCTCGGATAGGACAAGGCTAAAGACCCCAGTACCTACTGTATTCACCCGCTCCTGAAAATACTGGTGATGTCCAGATCTCTACGCCCTGAATAGTATGGTGGTTGAGCGACTGTGTACGAGGCCACAACGAGGGGTAGCAAGTAAGTGCAGTTTGGCTTCCATTTGGTTCCCTACGAGAGAAATGCTTGTTTCTATTGTTCTAAACTGGTACATTTTTCGCCTATATCGGGCCAAGAATATAGCTGGCGGTCGGTGTTCTGAGAAGCAGAGGAATAACAACGTGCTGTCGTACTTGACCATCTTCCCCACGACATCAAGGAGAAGCCTTTTTTGCCTCGAACAAGAACTCGGCGGCGATCTCCTTGTATTCTGCCGTGGCCTTAATGTTGTACATAAGATTTTCTGCCAACATCTTGGCGATCTCCTTCTCGGCCAGCAGAAAAATGTTCTCGCGATCCACCTGAAAAATGAAAAAAATAGACGGCGCCTATCGTAAGAGTACAATAACGCTCGAAAATTGTATGTCACACGTTGAAGATATTACCTTTCACGTTGATGAACGGGATAGATCGGGCGGCCCTGGAGGGAACCACATACAGATCGCATATGATTTCATCACCGCTTTGTTTCAGTTTGCACCCGCGGAAAACCCCGGAGCATCGGTAAGTCATCTTTATATCCGCCCGCCCGTTGGTACGTCGAACGTTTTATTTTTGAGTTTGCAAAACATCTCCTCGTTAATGTTTCGGGCCCCCAGTTGTTTGTGCAGTGTTAATGCCAACAAAAAAATACAATACCATGTATTGCCATGTTCTTGTGCCAGCAAACGACGAGTGGTCTCCCGGAACACATCAATCATCACTGAGTTTGTGGAGATGACCGTTGATGAAGGATAACCACCTCTCATATTGTGTTATTGTCGTCGCGTCGTTGGCCTTGTTCTTTCAAGGTCCTAAATCCCTTTGATGATTTTCGGAATAATTGTGGTCCCTTTCGTGGCTCGTTAGCAGGTGACCACGGAAGAAATCCGCGTCAGTTGGACCATTACGGACGGTACGACGCCCTGACCACACGTGGAAATCTGTTACGCAGGCCCCGAGTGATAGGGAGACCCCGATTCACTGGGTATCTTCGATTGACTTTAACCAGCATCGGTACACCTTCGCATATGGCGTCAGCGCCTTGATAATATCTCCTCGGGTGCATATTTTTCTCTCCCGACTTGGACATTTTCCCCATGGATACAAATGTGTGTCAGTCCTGAGAGCACCTTGGAGTCGATCCTACAAAGAATCTGTGACACTTCCATCGAATTAACCATGGGTTCTTTCCTAGTTGTGACGGTAAATTCTGTGGGTGGAGAGTGTTACATGTAAGGAGGCCCTGATTCGCAGGGTATCCGTAAATTTGACGCTTACCAGAATCGGTACACCTTCGCATATCGATACCAATATTAACCGTGAACAAAACAAGAACAATACGAGCCCGGAGGTCGAGTCCAGGGGCCAGGGCCGTAAATCACATACATCCGTCCAGTTGGTAAGAACTGTTTTGGGTTTCCATCATTTCCTTGAGCTGCGGGGCTGAGAACACCAACGGGAAATCTCGATGGGTCTCAAAGATGAAGGTTGCCAGCAGGGTCCAACCACATATCTCCGGCATGTGATATGCGATGACAGTACAGGACGGCTAGTAGTTTGCTTTGGCAATCTCGTCGAAAGACATGACGAATAGAGGCGAACGGCCATGCTTCCACCGCACATCATGCCCAATTCACCTGATCGAGCGAGTCGTATGCTGAGCGTTCGCCAAAACTCAATATGTTTTTTTTTAGGGTGCTGTCGATGTTGATTTCGGAGTGAGAGCTGTCCTTGATGTACTCGTCGACGATGGCAATGAACGCGTCGAAGGCGCCTTTGCCCCCCTCTCCGCCGTTGGCGGCGTGTACATGTGTCCTGACGCTGTATTCCAACGCGTCAACCAGGAACTGGAACGACTGGACGGTTGATCTAGTTCGAAGCGTGAGTTCGGAGGACGAACATATGAGAGGGGCAAAATGACATGTACATCAGCACTGGATCATCCTCCTTGGCCGCGTCGGGTTGCGGCGTCAGTATTTGTCGATTGTCGGTGTCTGATGTACGCCGAAAACGAGGATTGATTTCTTTATCCTCGTCACTCCATCGTTTTTCCAGAGTCCTTCCAAAGGAAACTGATGAAATTAGGAGTTCAGTCCCAGGGTTCTCTGCAGAGTACCGGTTTCCGATACCCTTTGTGCGCACGCTTAGCGTTCGCCAAACCTCATCAACTTTTTTGGGGTGGTTTCGACGTTAATTTTGGAGTGAGAGTTATCCTTGATGTACTTGTCTGCGATGAAAATGAACTCGTCGAAGTTATCTTTGCTCTCTTCGCTGCCTTTGGCGGCGTTTATCCCGCAGATGTATTCCGACGCGTCAACCAGGACCTGGAACGACTGGATGTTTGATCAAGTTCGATGCCAAAATATCGGAGGAAGAACGGGTGACAGGGGCTACATATTATGTATATGAGCAACGAGCGAGCGCATCAACCGAAGCCGTAACCATTAGAACGTCGAACAAATCTGAACGGTCATTCTTGATCGCGGTGAGCTGCGGCGTCGATAATTTCTCATGGTAGCGTCTGTCACTGTTTGATGGCCACAATATCAAGCCGAAGCCGAGGATATGCCCTTGGCCTTGTCACTCCATCGTTTTTTCGGATTCCTACTGAAACCTGATGAAACACATGAGTCCAGTCCCAGGTTTCTGTCGACTGGGCAATAGTACTCTTCGTTCGCATGGCCGGTTCTTCACGTTGAAGCATTCAGGGGTAAAGAGGCCAGAACGTTTTCGAAGGCGAGGGCATCACCACCACCGCCACCGACAACAGTAGAAACACCACCACCAACCAGTACCTCGCTGCACAGCGCTTTGCGGCAATACTCTCCGAAAGCCTCCCTCAGAGGAAGAACTCCCATCACATCAGCCAGTGGGCTTTCGTAGAAGTGGCCGAGGCTCCCATGAATTTGCGTTGAGGTTGGCAGTCTCTGTATACCAGTAGTACAGGCCACACGGGTGGCGCGGTTCTTGTCGGGGTTGGTCCACCTCGGGACAATCCAAGAACTCAGTGTATCCTGCGGCCCACAGTTGCCGTCATGGAGAAATTCTCGAACCGGCTTGATAATGCTGTCAAGAAATTTACCGCCAGCATACATGTACCAAACAGAATTCGGACGCTCCCCGTTAGAGACAACGACAAAGGTTTACCCTGAAGCTGGTATCACTGAGGCTGCTAACACCAGTTGCTAGGATTTTCTCTTTGACAGATTCATCGCAACACCAGACTTTCACAGGGTTCGCTTCAAACATTGAACAGACATTGTTCACTGTTCGCGTTTCGGACGACAAGGGGCGGACGCGTGCTAAGCGTTTCGTTAACCGTCATAACATGATCGATCGAGTTGTCTATGACAGCCCTCACCTACGCAACTCTTCCAAGGTGAGACTACCAAGTTTGTTTCGAGACTGGTTCTGTATGGTTGAGTTTCCAAGAGGTCTCTTCGTTGACCCGGTCATGGAATTGGAGGTAAATAGTGGTATTTGTCGTTGATGACGGAAAGAACAAGCATATGCTACAGTACACTTCCATGAAACATTATATGGGTATTTCCACGAGAGGCTATGGCCTGTAAGAACAGCATACGATGAGGTTTTTTAGCAATCACCTTCTGAGTACCACGAATGAATGCCGTGAAAATCTCGGGAGCCTGTTCTCTTCGTAAAAAACTGCAAAGTCACCGACGACTGCTGTGAAGGTACACGTTAATTCCTACAGTCAGTCATGATCGTGTCATGGTACTTCTTTGATGCGTTTGGTGTTGTGTCCGTCGCAGATTGTTCAGGGGCTTGGCGATCACTTGTAACGCCGTCGGGAAGTCCCAAGGGCCGCCTATGGACCGCACATTGACCGCACATCGACCGCACATGACCGACCCATGGCGCCACTTGGTAGTACCTGATGGCTCATGTGTGCTCAGTGGAATCGCTGTCCCATGATACGTTCCACGAGTTTCAGCAATTGGCTATCCTGTTGATCGAACGTAGTGGACACCCCACGAGTCTTAACGCACTGCCCATGGGCAGCCTATCACAGCCCTACCACGACCTATGATGGTACAAAGGCTTTTATCCGCTCGACGGCTATCTTGGGTAAAAAACACCTCAGGGCCGTTCAGGGCCGTTCAGGGCCGTTCAGGGCCGTTCTTGGACTGTGGTGGGTAATCGACCGCCCTTAAACCGGCGGACGTCCCGGAGCCGCCCATGAGGCACCCATTCGTCGCCATTGCACTATGTCCTTTCGATGTTTGTATTGCGGAGCCCTGGCTCCGGCATGACCTTTTATATATTGCCTTTGCATTCTACGATGCCAATTGGTGAGGTGTAATTGGAAGTGGCTGGCCCATGGGCCACCCATGGGCGCAGTGGTGCCATTGGGCAGCCCATGGGTGGCCCATGGACCGTCAATGACTGCCATTCACGCATCACTTCGCCCATTGGGCTGTGTCTCAAAATTCAATATTGCATATGCCCTTGGCTCACATTCCCCGCACGATAATTTGGAAGCCAAGGAACCGTAGAATGTGACCTGTGTGCCGTCCATGGGTCGTCGCATGAAACGCCTATGGAGCGCTCTTTTTGTTGGGGGAGCTCGAACAGCAGATACCTTATACTCACATTCTCCACACTATAACTTGGAGAGCGACGAACACCACAGCGGCGTAGCAGTACTTGAAGACCACCGGAGGCATTGGATTCGACGTGACTGTTCCTAAGGCAACTGACGGCAAGATAAGCCAAGGTAGGGAGGGGCTCAGTTAACAGAACACGCAGCAACATCGTGCAAGCGAGACAAACGTGGCGGTTTTCTGTTGAGAAACAAGCAGAGCACCCGCGACTTGCCGATAGGTACCGTAGGTGATACACGAGTTGACTGCATTCCAAATGTACAGGCGCCATATTCATTCGTAGTCCTGATCTCACTCGTATTCAACCCCGCCCATGCCCCGAGACGACGAGCTTCTTGAGACAGGCCACCCAGGTCTTGAATCTTCTTCAAACGACCCGCAGGGAGGATGCAAGCCGCCAAAATCAGAAGAGCCCCGGCTAGGTCGACTTCAGAAGATACATCAATCGATGTCCTGGTATCACAGGGGGCGGGATTGAGCAGCGGAGGAAGTGAAGCGTGGTGTCTGGCAAAATATTCAGTAATACATCCACTTTGTCATGCTGTGTCCAGCCAAATATCTCCTGCTCGGTACTGAAAATAGACAGACTAGATAAGGATGACGTTGCCGTAATTGCCAATCATCACGTCAACCAAGCGTCAAGAGGGTACAAAATCTGTTGACCTGTGGTCTATCGGATCACCTGTTGACCCCGTATGACGAAGCTGCTGCCCAGATGACCGCCTCCATCCCTACGTAAAACCAGCAGAGAGCACGGACAACGCTTCTTTCCTTGACATATCGCCCATATTTTTTCCGCTTGATTGGATCAAAAAGCACCACCAGCCGAATCGCCCACCAGATCAATGCGATAGTAGCTAGTAGTGCTGCAGGGCTCCCGATTAGCGAAGTCACGGCAGCCGCTCCTGTGAATTCGAACGTGCCGTCTTTGGCACGATCGGTCTCGGCTAGAACAACCATGTATGTCACCGAGCAGCTCTGGAGAGTATAGACGCTCCCGGTCAGGCACCCCAGTAGGGGGGATCTGCGACAAGGAAGCATTCATTTGGATATCTGGAATGTCTGGTGTTGCGGGAGGACGGGGAAAGAAACCACATTCTTCGGTAGAAACACATTCTTAGTGGTGATTGTTTCACCAGTTTCCCACCCGACGTCCTCGCCACGAAAAGAACGCCAACTTCGAGTGAGTGTGGACATGCCGTCGAGCGAGCTGCTTGACGGATTGACAGTCAACACAACGTTGCCGTTTCGCTTCGCTGTCGCTCGGATTAGCTGCCGACATGTCATCAAGCGTGAAACCGACGCCCACGAGTCGGCAACGATGTGGGCGGGAAGAGCTGGCAGGACAGTGTTGGATGTCCTTTTTCGACCCTATCAGCTACCTCTAGTTCTTGGTTTGTCCCTGCTGTGGGGCATCCATCGATCTTGTTTCATTCTTCTACTTCACTTGCCAGATTCGTTGCATGAGGCACTGCGTCGCAAACCTCGAATCTATTGTGTTTTCGACACAAACCGTGCCTCCTTGTGATATGCCTCCCAGTGTCCTGTGTAATGCTTTTCAACATTGAGCGAGGGGTCCCACAAAGTTGAACTTTGTCCCCAATGATTGTTGGCTTAAGTGCTCATCAACGATATGTTGAAAGTCGTAGATGAAACTGGAAAGGGAGCAACGGGAAGACAGACTTCGGTGCTGTTTGCCGAGATTAATCGTGTTGGAACGGTTGATATACCTGAGCGATTTCAAGTGCAGATTGACGCAGGGAAGGATTTGGCCGGCCCGAAAAGAGGAGATTGCCTGTCAACGTTTACACGGGCGCCGTACTAGGATGCAACGAGGATGGCGGTATGTACGTGGATGTAGGGGATCGAGGAGCGTGCAGTAGTGGCCCTGCACACATAGCTCGGAGTAGAGATTGCCAAAGAGTATAGTATACATGGAATGCACACAAGGCCGAAGTAGTGGCGGAAAAGGACACAACGCAAGCGGGGAAGATGTACCCAATACTTGCAAACCGGCACCTGGATACACGCATCCAATTAGCGATTATAAAGAGCCTAGTCGTCCCGCCACTGGAGTACGCCAGAGAGTATTGAAACAAGAAGATTGTAAACGAGCTGGAGATGGTTCAGATGAAAGCAGCGAACCCACCCTACGATGTTCCAAGAGCATTAATCCAGCAGTAAGGGGAGAACTGGGGATCCAATCCCTACGAACGGGAAGGTATGCAAGTTGGCGTATGTAGTGGTATGCACGCGTGATGAAGTCTGGTTGACCCGTGACGAAGAACTCACTTGTTGTTACTCTTGTAGAACAGCAGCAGCAGTAGCTGTTGCCTTGGGTATCGGTAGGAATGACACCAAGGGGCACAGGATCCTCTGCACAAGCAGGGGCTACTAGATCCTGTCCCCTGCTTTTTATCCTTCCGCGGAGAGTTACATCTCTCCGCGCCTTCTAGAAGGAACCAAGCTCTTCTATGTTCCGTCTACACATCTGAATCCTATAACACTAGCCCACCCTGGAGGTTCTCATACGCAGATACTGTAAAACCTCGAGTCTTGACAAGCAATTGTCGAGTCTCTAAATGAAAGTATCGAGGATGTGGAGCTCCAAAACAGCACAATTCACCCTCCCACACCTCTCACTCGATGAGTCGCAAGACCATCGTTTGACTTCTAAAACGACAAAAAGACACAGACAGGAAGGAACTGACGGGGCTAAGAAAAGCCTACGACGACCGGAAGAAGATCGAAACCAAAGAAAGGAAGACACAAAGAAAGGAAGAAAAACAGAAAAGAAAAACAGAGGTCGTCATAACGACAAAAAGAAAGGGTCACTGGAGGAACCACAACAAGACCGGTATCGTAAGAAAACGATCAGATACGCCATTCACGCAGTCGCCACGGCAGTGTAGAAGGGGCAACAATGGGCGCGAAACACCTACAGGTCGTGACCAAACGCTAAAGGCACAAAATAAAGCGAGGAGAAAGCGAAAACCAACCAAGGCTAAAAAAAACCAACCCAAACAAAGCTGAAAACAACAGAAAGCCAAGACAACTAGCACGTCGTCTTAATGTGGGCGCGCAACGTTATCAGGCAATGAATCAGTCCCGGGGTCACCACGCGACATGTCGACGTTGCGAAGGATCCCCTTAAAAAGGGCACTGCCGCTGTGAACTTGGAGGCACCAGGATCCGGAGACGGCGGTTTCAGCGGTGGAGTAGCGAACATCAGGAAGGGCGAGCTTGACAGGGCCAGGATCGTCCAAGAAGCGGACGACGTAGAAATCGGACGGTAGAGGCGGTCCAGTAATCTTGCCCAACCACCAGAATCCATCGCGAGCTTTGTACCAGAAGAAGGCGCCTGCAGGTAGCGGAGTATTGGCGAAGCGACGGTCCCAAGTTGAACGAGAGACGAGCGAATAACCCGAAGGCAAAGCTCGCTCCCCTTTAGCGCGCGCCATCTCGCGGGTGGCCGCACCAATACGCATCGCCCGATAGCGACGATTCGTTTGGCGATGTTGATCAGGCGAACCCGTCCAGTACCGGAGAATGTGGGGCTTGGAATGCTGGAGGTCCATCTCACGTTCCCAAGAAGGACGAAGAAGACCTTTCCAATGGGTTTGGTATAAAACAGCGATGGTGCCACCACGGCCACGAACAGATTGATGGCCACTAATGCGGTCAACCTCGAGACGTTCGACCGGAGTCGACACGTCGTCTTCCGTAACATGGTAGGGAGGAGATTTATTCGCATAGGAGTTTAGCACATACGGTGTAAGGCCGGCAGGCAGGAACTGAGGCAAGTCTTCAGTGTCACGCGGATTAGCGCAAGGCTTGCAACGCGCAACTGACACACGTTTTTTCGAGTCCGGACCCGGCAGATCCGATGGAAGATCCAAATACAGTAACTTGGAAGCCAGAGGACAACCGTCGGGAGCGTCAGGACACGGACCCACGGCCAAGATCTTGAACGGACCAGTCCAAAGGAAAGACAACTTAGCCTTGAGGACCTTGTCATCCGTGCCTGAACGAACACCTTGGCGAATGGTAGATTCGGTGTTGTACACCCAAACCCATCCACCGACGGTGTATGAGGGGACCTTGCGCAAAGCATCCGATAGAGCGGAGTTACGCCGCTCAATCCTTGAAACGGACAGGTTGTGCTGTTCGCGAACTAA